GATCTCCTACATTCATTTCAGTTAACTCCCCTAGAATAGGCTATTTGAAAGTCATACAGGCAGAAAATGAATCTTATTCTGTTGACACAAATGGGGTTTCAGGAAAAAATGATTTGAGGTTAGCCTCTTAATATAGGTTGCCCAAGCAGTCAGCAGCATGGAATATTTCTACTGCAGTACTTACATTGCAGTTCAACAACCAGTTTTTGCATCCCTTCCTTTTTCTTTTCTCTTTTCTCTTTTTTCTCTTTTCTCTTTTCTCTTCTTTTCTCTTCTTTTCTCTTCTCTTCTCTTCTCTTTTCTCTTTTCTCTTCTTTTCTCTTCTTTTCTCTTTTCTCTTCTCTTCTCTTCTTTTCTCTTCTTTTCTTTTCTCTTCTTTTCTTTTCTCTTTTCTCTCTTCTCTCTTCTCTCTTCTCTCTTCTCTCTTCTCTTCTCTTTTTTCTTTTTTGACAAACTGGCACTGACAGTGGTGGAATGAGAACATTAGCAAAAGGAAAAAAAAAAAAGACTTGTAAGCACTGTTGCCCAAGAGAAAGGTTTCTCTGGCTGGTTACCTGCATCCTGAAACACTCAGCAGCAATGAACAAAAAAATAATTATTATAACTCAAACACATATCCATGCTTAGGGGAATATATATATTTTTTTTACTCTTGAAGCCCTCCAATGAAAGAAAATTTGCAGCAAACAGGCCAAACTGACAAGTTCAAACATGTCTCAAGGACTTCAGCAGGAATGTAGAAGAACATGGAGAGATTGTACAACACATCAAAGTTCATCGAATCAGCTAGAACCATTTGGATTTGAAATTGTGCTCTGAAACCTCCAGAAATAACTGGAGAGAAAAGAATGCCTAGAGTGCAGACAGGACAACCAAACAACATAGCATGTTAGCTTTGCTTTGTAAAAGTCAGTGGGGAAGCTGGCAGGAAGTTGCAAGTTCCAGGCCCGCAGGCAGGTGAGTGGTTGTTGCCAGATGGGGGAAGGAGCAAGGGGGTGGGCAGGGCTGTGGGGGAAGGTCAGGGAGGGTGTGCAAGGGTGCATGAGAGGCATCATGCAGGTTAGGGTAGGTGCACGGGGGTGCAGCGCAGGTTGGGGAGGGTGCGTGAGAGGCACGTGTGGGTTGGGGAGGGTGCGAGGGGTGTGGTGTGGGTCAGGATGGTGCAGCATGGGTTGGGAAGGGTATGCAGGGTTGTGGGTTGGGGAAGGTGCATGGGGGTGTGCAAGCGGCCAGCATAGCATAAGTGCAGAGGGGCTGGGGGAAGATGCAAGGGTGGGGGAGACTTACCCCAACGATTTGCAATCTTCTATGCCAGCTTTCCCTTTGACATTCTGGGGAAACCGGCATGGAAGGTTGCAAATGGCAATCACGATCACAGGGCGCTTGGCAACCAGTCATAAGTGTGAATGGGCTGCCAAACACCCAGATCACGATCACATGATCACAGGGGTTTGGGGACAGCCGCAACTTTGAGGACCAGTTGTAAGTCTTCTTTTTCAACATACTTGTAATTTCAAATGGTGGCTGAACGAATGGGCGTAAGTCAAGGACTACCTGTAATACAGAAAGTGGAAGTAAAATCATAAGTCGAGGTCACGTGATTTTTTGCTTAGCGACTGCATCACTTCGCTTAACTAAAGGGGAAGTAAGGTTGTAAGCCCGTCACAAACATCTGATTTTCTGCTTAGTGACTAAGTTGCCAGTCCCAATTGAGGTCACTAAGCGAGGACTATTTGTAATGGACAGCGAGTCGACCAATGCAGCAGAAAGAATTTTTTGTGAAAAAAAGAAACATGAGTTTGCTGAGTTTGCTTGCATGTACATATATACCGTATACCATTATGTCCTGTTGATTCAAAATGTCTTTACCTCTAAAGGCATCCTGAGTGGCTTCCAAAAGACACAGGAACATGCACAGAATGCCCCCAAGCTCAGCCAGTGGTAGAACTGAATTTACGTTCAACATTGCAATATGATTAGACCCTTGTATATAAACTGAAGCACAGTAGTGCACATGTGTGCAGTACCTCTTCCCTTTACCACCATCCTGTCTTTATTATCTGCTTTCTTTTGCAGTTTACACACATTAAACCATCAAAATAGTAGTAGGTAAGGGAATTTTAGCAAGGAAAGGTTTGTCTTAAGGAGTTCCTTTACCAGTCTGGCATTCAGTGTGAATGAAGGGGTATCACTTGCCATGTAGAACACCCTCCAACTCAGGGTGCTGGCTAATGGCCAGGGCTTGGTATTGTCCCAGCAAAATGTAGGAGATCTGCCTTCTTATTTTTCCCTGGCTCCTTCAAGCTACTACTTCTCTGCTGGTGTTGCAAGCTCACTACCTCAAGATGAGGCTGGCTGAGCGAGTCATACTAGAATCAGCTTTCTCTGCTATCATAGGGTTTCCCAAACTGTGAGGTGTACCTCCCTTGGGGTGGTGCAGACAGAGTTCAGGGGATGTGCGAAGAACATTTGCTTTTATTTTTTATGTCTATTAAAAATAAAGTTTCATTGTGTATTTTCATTGTTCATTTGAGTTCATTTTGGTGTTTAGATTTTTAGGGAAGGTATGTACGTTATCATCAGCATACTGATGATACCCAACTTTATATCTTCACCCTTGGCTACCCAGATAATGCTGTGGAGATTCTCTTTTGGTTTCTGGAGACTGTGGGGTTCAGCTCAAGCCTAGCAAGACTGAGTGGCTCTGGTATTAGGGCCCCCACGTTCCCAGGACTTTCCATCTTTAGTTGTGGATGGGATTGTACAAAACCAGTGCACAATTTGGGGCCCTCTTTGACTTCTGGCTCCTGTTCAAGGAATAGGTGGCAGCCGTGGCTAGAAGGACCTTTGCACAGCTTTGTGTTGTGCATCAGTTGCACCCTTTTCTGGACCAGGAGGCTCTGCTCACAGTCAGATCTTGGTCACTTTCTGAATGTGCTTTTGATGGGGCTGCTCTCAAGCATTTGGGAGCTGTAGTTGGTAAGAATGCAGCAGTGCAGGGCGCTTATATACACTCCTTGATCAGCACACATTATACCTTTGCTTGTGAGCTGTATTGGTTGCCAGTATGCTTCTGGGTTCAATTCAGGGTGCTTGTAATTATCTATAAAGCCTTTCATGGGGTCACCCCTCGCTGACTATGTCTACCTGCCCATTAAGTCTGGCAGGAGAGGCATGCTGTAGGTCTCGTCTGTTACAGAGTGCGATCTGGCAAGTCTCAGGAAGAGAGCCTCTTGTATTGTGGCACCTGCCATTAGGAATATCACCCCTCCACAGATTAGGTTGCGCCCTGCCCTTGCTGGCGTTCCACAAGGCCTTAAAGACATGATTGTGTCACCAAGCTGGGGATCCAAATGTGTGGCAGAGCCTGTGCAATGGTTCTGTTGATTTGTTTGCTGGTTTTGGTTTTTACTTTGGCTGCCAAATATGTTTGTATTATTATTGTGTGTTGCCCTATGGTGTTTTTAGCTGTTGCTAGCTGCCCAGAGTCCTGAATTTGAGATAGGCGGCCATATAAATTGAAATAAATAAATAGTCTTAAGGTACCTTAAAGGCTAATGACTTTATTATTGCATTATGTATAAACTTTTGTTGATCACATTGTATGATTATTATCATCATCATCATCATTATTGCTATTTTCTATCTTTGCAAGGAATTTTAAGCAATTTTGAGTTCCTTCATATTTTATAGCTTCCTATAATAGATTTTATGGTAGCTAATTGACTCAAGTTTAATAAATATTATTTTCATCACTGATGAAATTGTCTTCCCTGTAATGTCATTTTTCCATGAAAATAATGTTATATTGGTACGGGTAAGTTTTTGAATTGAGTTCAACTCACAGTAATTAACTAGGTATTCAGTTTCTACTTACATTACAGAGAAATTATTGAAGAACTGGGTATCCTGTCTCTTAATTGATGTGGAAAACATCTAGTTCTTTCTGTAGATGATTTGGAATTCATTGTTTTGAACTAGTAAAAATCTCTCCCCTGTGGAATTAGGCAAAAATTTGAAGACTTCCAAACACCAGTTTTACCCAACCCATGACTTTTCTGAAAAAAATTGACATGCTAGAAGTTACAAAGAAGGTGTGTGTGTGTGTGTGTGTGTGATCAGATAATATAGTTCTGTTGGTGAATAGTATTAGCTAGTGGAAAGGATTCTTCCTCTTGTCCCCTTACTGAAATCTGAAATCTATAGAGATTGAGAGATCTTCCAGAATACAGTAGATACAAGATATACATAGGAGTATTAAAATGGGTAGAGAAAAATAAGGAGGAAAGGTAGATCTCATTGCATGACTGGAAGTTAGTTCTCATAATATAATATGTAATCCAACTGATGTTTCATCAAGATAATCCAAAATTTGTGTATTACTGGTAAAGTGAATCAGATCTCTGAGAAACCAAGCTGTTATTTGAATGCAAATCTTTATAAAGCTTGTGGGAAGGAAATCAAGTCCTCCTGCAGTACAGTCTTCCCACCGTAATCAGAGCAAAAGGTTAAAAATTACAATTAGAATGGGCTCAACACAAAGATAAAAATGCAGCGGGAAATGCCGAAATGCCAATCTAATCAATCGGGTGAATATTCCTTCCAGGCTGAGTTTAGCTGGAGGTCTCCTTGATTAAATAAGAGAAGATCCTTTCCCCGAAAGAGATTACTGTTTCAATCAGCAATGCTAAACAAGCGGAAACCACGACTCAATAGGATGCCTGACTGCAGCGTCCCTCTTAGAACACCAGCTAAGTGCACTTTCTTGGAATTCCTAAAGGGCACGCTTCCACACACTTTCGAGGAACAAAAGCAAGGTTTCTCTATATAAAGGGCTTCTGGGGAGGACTTGGTGTGGCCACCTTTTACACTTGACTCTGTACATTGCACTCTCAGAAATAAGCCTCACCTCTGGTTTAAGCAACTGCCTGTGTATTTTATTCCTGGCTCAGAAATGATCCTGGTAAGATTTCTTTCTAACAATTTGGCAACTGTGGCAGGACTCCAAGACTCACTGGGTTGACGGACCGAGCCCAGGCAACTTCGCCCAGCTGGCACCGGACCATTTGTCTGGAGGGTGCTGCCCGGCCTCTGCCCGCATCGACATTGGTAGTAAAGGGAGTTTTGGTTTTGAGCCAAATGGTTGCCTGAACCTGAGGCATCATAGTTGGTAAGTACCCTGCAAATTTTGTGTCTTGCGCCCAGTAGTGTGTGAGTGTGAGATTTCCCTTTTGTGTTTTATCCCAACTGTTGACCAGGGCTGTGTGTCAAGTCAATTTCAGCCACACCTAGGCTCCTGCTAGCCCGAATCGGGTAATGACTTAGAAAGCAAGAGAAGCTGATGAGACTCATGTGCCTCAACAAGTAATGAAAGGTTGAATGCTTGACTTTACCTGGGTGAACACTAGTCTGCTTTCTGCTCCTTTCTTAGGCTGGGACCAGGTTTGTAAAAAGGGAGGACCAGTACTCTATTAGAGAGTCTTCTGGTGTAAAGGAGCACCTCAACCCTTGGTAGACACGCATGTCATAATTAGGGACAAGTCAAAGGTCTCCCCAGCTTCTCCTTTGGGAAGGATGCTCACCGCCTGGGATAAGGGTTATTGCCTGTACAGGCAGAGGTGAGGAAAAGCTGTGCATAGGATCTGTGTCTGGAATGGACTAAGCTTACTGATGTGAGTGGTAATTCAATTTGGCCTGAAATGGATACATTCGAATATGCCATATTAAAACCGTTAAGACCAAAATTAAAGCCTTCCCATAAGCCATCCTTATTGGTACCATTGGGCAGAACTTTCTAATCCCACAGGTCTGACTCCTAATTCAAACACACCCAGTGCCCCTCCAGCCCAAACTGAGTCAGATGTCTTGGATAGGAATGCTGAAGGGAAATTAATGACGCCTTTATTAAAAAAAATCCTATACCCAGCTGAGCATGAGGTGATTTAGAATTTGTTTTTATCCACATGCCTTTCTCCCCATCTGATCTGGTAATTTGGAAGAAAGATGCTTCTCCCTTTCAAAAGGACCCACAGATGGTCATCAGGACCCTGCAGTCGATTATTGAAAGCCATAATCCATCCTGGGGAGACATAATGCATCTGTTTAACATCTTTCTTACCAGAGACAAGATTTTTAATCTTTTTGAGAAAACTACTGAAATAGCCAGAAGACCCATAGTCCTTGTCTCTGAGTGAGCAGTCCCAGCACGTTTTGCCTGGTCAGCAAACAGCCCCTGGGACTATAGTGGGACTACAGTGACCCCTAGGATGAATACACCATGGCTAAAGAAAATCTGTTAGAAGCCCTTCAAGAGATGGGATGCAAACCACTAAAATGATCCGAATTTCAACATACCAAGCAGAGGGAAGACCCGGACACCTTCTGGGTCTATTTTTCAGAAACCGGTGTCACATATGCACATTCAAATCTAAACTACCACAAAGACCAGAGGATTTTAGCCTCAGCATTCATTGATCAGCCAGCTAGCAACATCCGAAATCACTTTCAGACAATTGTCTCTAACTGGTCATCATTAGAAATTCCCGAGTTGTGCAGAATTGCCAACTTTGTATTTGACCAGAGGAACAGATTAAAAGAAAAAGAAAAAGATGAGGCAGAAGGGGAAAAAAGAGAGAGAGCAAAGGAGAAGAGAGAAAAGAGGGAAGACCTAAAAATGCTTGCAGCCTTGCAGAAAATAGGCAGTCCTAGCCTTCAAGGAACTGGGGGGGGGGGGAGGACAAAAGCCAGTAGTCTGCTTACCAGTGCGGCAAAGAGAGTCATATGAAAAGGGACTACAGACTAAGACCAGTGGAGAGGGGGACACAACACTTTTCTGGCCAGGCCCAGACATTTCACCACAGTAGACCACCACCAGCACCATTTTCCAAGTCACACTACCCCCTCCAGCAGCAGGCATCCCTGTAATACGCCCCCAGACTACTCCTTGCTTGTATCCAGCTCTGCCAGAGGAAACTTTAGACTCCAATTCCCAATGACTGGACTCTGGGAACACCCAGAGTGACCCATCCTTTACTGTTCTCTCCACTCCACTAAAACGGGACCCCAAAGGTGAACCTTTACTAACACTTACCATGGGAGGCAAACCTTATGATTGCCTCATTGACACCCATGCAACCACTCCCTAATTACCCATCCCCCTTTCAAAGATTCCCCTGGATCTGGTGCTTGCCACAACATCATTGGGGTGGAAGGTAAATTAATTCCAGTCAAACTAACAAAATGAGGGTGGAAGTGGGACCCTTGTCTTTGGATCACTCTTTTACTACCTGTCCTCAATCATCTTTGTCCCTAAGGGGTAGAGACTTAATCTGTAAACCTGGGGCCGCAATAAAATGTGCTCCAGATGGGCTGGTTTTAGATGTCCCCCTTGAGCCACTTGTGTTGCTTGACAACTCTTTTGCAAACGAGCTGCACTCCCTCCCTCTAGACTTAAAGGATTTGCTGCTTTTCTATGGGGATGGGATTCCCCAGAAGTAGATCTTTTAAAGAGTGCTACCCCTGTTGCAGTCCAGGTAAAGCCAGGTCCATCACCCTGTCTGCCACAATACAGCATTCCAGCCGAAGCTGTTGAACCCATTCAAAATTTAATCAAAGCTTACTTAGCACAGGGAGTTTTGCACAAATGCACATCACCTTGCAATACCTCGATCTTTCCAGTCCAGAAACCAAAGGTAGACGCAGCCAGTAAGCCAGTCTATTGCTTTGTCCATGATTTGTGAGCCATTGACTCATATGTCATCCCACGAGCTCCATTCATGCCCAGTCTGGCCACCATCATCACCATGATACCAGCCACAGCTACCTACTTCACAGTCATAGATCTGTGTGCTGCCCTTTTCAGCATTCCAGTAGACCCTGTATCACAATATCTTTTTGCTTTTACATGGGACAGCCAACAATACACCTGGGCCCATCTTCCACAGGGATACACTTAGTCACCTATTCTTTTTTCCCAAATTTTAAAGGCAGACTTAGCCTCCATCTGTTTACCTTGCCATTCTGTGTTAATCCAGTATGTGGATGATTTATTACTAGCTTCCCCATCCAAAGAAAAGTTGCACTGACACTCTTCATCTACTCTCCAAGCTGGCTAAGAGGGAACACAAGCTTTGCCCACCAAACTGCAGTATCTCCTACAAGAAGTAACTTACCTGGGATACATAATTGCCCCAGGTACCTGCAAATTGGTTCCAGAGGGCATCCAAACCATCCTGTGTATGAAGATCCCAACAACCAAGTGGCAGGTACAAGCCCTTTTAGGAGTTTTAGGTTTTTGCAGACCTTGGATTCCCTCATTGAAGGAGCTGGCTCAGTCATCTATCCAGTTAATCCTAAAAGATGCTCCAGAGCCTATCCAATGGACTAAAGACTTAACACGCCTTTTTGAAAAAATAAAACAGACTTTGACTTTGGCTCTTACCGGTTTGCCAGACTACAACGAGCCTTTCTCCCTATTTGTACATGAGAACAGAGGCATAGCTTCTGGGGTGTTAGCTCAATCTTTGGGCTCCACACAACAGCTAGTAGCCTACTATTCAGTTCAACTGGACCATGTTGTTCAAGGAACAGTCCCATGTCTCCATGCTGTTGCAGCTGCAGCTGAACTTGTCAAACACTTCAGAGACATAGTTTTAGGACATCCTCTCATCTTAAAGGTCCCGCATTATGCGGCTGCCATCCTGCTAAAATCTCAAACTCAAACCTTCACACATCAAAGATTGGCACAGTATGAAGCAGAACTCTTCACATCTGGAGACATCTCCTTTGAACAATGTGCCACCCTGAACCCAGCCATGCTGTTGCCTTCTACTGACACTGAAATGCCCCTCCATGACTGCCTCCACCTTGTCCATGATGCTGAATAACCCCGCCAGGACCTGACTGATGTGCCACTTGCAAATCCAGACTTTGAACTTTTCACAGACAGCTCCTCTTTCCTTTGTGGAAGAACCCGTGTTTCCAGAACTGAAGTGGTTACTCTTTTTGATATCATCTGGGCATCACTGCTCTCATCCTCCCACAGTGCCCAAGCTGTAGAACTTAATTGCCCTGACAGAAGCCTGCCATGCTGCTGCAAACTCTTCTGCCACCATCTATACAGATTCTAAATATGCCTTCCGTATTTGCCATGCTATGGGGGCCTTGTGGAAACAGAGGGAATTTCTTACCTCCTCAGTGCTCCCATTGCACATGCCACTCTCATCGCAACACTCCTCCAAGCCTGTAATGCATGTGCAAGGAGGATACTGGAATGGAGGATCAAGGTTATCAGGAGGGAGGGGGAACATTCCAGAGCAATCGCTTTCTCAGTCTGCAGCAAGACCGTGGGACAAGTAAGAGGATGAGGCTAGCCCCTCTCTAGAGTCTCACAGGGTATATCCACTAGTTGCTTTAGCATAGGTTTAGTCTGGCGAGATTCTGTCTATTAGGTGCAAACTAATAACGGGACTGGACTGGACTGGATTGCCTCGTTGTTGTTTTTCGGCTGAGCCTGACAGAGGGGGAGAATTTCTGGAGAGGTTAGAGAGCAAGTGTTTCCTCAGCCTGCAGCAGGACTGTAAGAATAGGAAGAAGCCGAGATTGGCCCCTCCCTAGAGTCTCACGGGGTATACTCACTAGTTGCTTTAGCATAGGTTTAGTCTGGCGAGATTCTGTCTATTAGGTGCAAGCTAATAAAGGAACTATACTGGACTGTACCACCTCATTGTCGTTCTTGGGCTGGTCCTGACAAAGCCATCTGGTTGTCATCCACCCTTGCTGTAGTTCATTGCAGCGCCCATCAGCGTGATGACTCATCCATCACAAAAGGCAATTGCTACACAGATGCTGTCACCAAATGGGCCGCCTTGCAGCCTCTCCCCCTCTCTCTAACTGCTCCTGATTTTCACCTACAATCATCTATTCCCTATGATGATTTGTTGAAAGGGGGAAGGTGGAACAGTGGCAGGAAAAATTAGAAGCCACATTCACTGAAGGGTTTTGGCAAGTACCAGATGGCTGCCCCATTGTTCTGCAACACCTTACAAAGGGACATTGTGGCATTCAAGTGATGGTAGATGCAGCCAGGCGCGAGTGGTATGACCCAGGAATATACTTGGAAGCAACAAGGGTTGCACAGAAGTGTCTAACCTGCAAGCCAATAATGCTTTTCAGGAAAAATAACATATACAGGAGGAAGCCCATGGGCTCAGAGACCTTTTGAGAAATTACAATTAGACTTCATTCAGCTGCCCAAATGCAGTGGGTTCTAGTACGTCCTTGCACGCCAAGATCGGCTCACCCACTGGATGGAAGCCTTCCCCTGTCGCCATGCCACAGCCATAGAGACTGTTTGACATCTTTTAAGAAACCTGGTCCCTAGGTTCAGTATACCTAGTACACTGTGATTAAACCAGTGAAGATATGGTTTGATAATGCTAAGTTAAACCTTCAGGCCTGCATAGAGTGCACAGTCTGGAATGTTTTTGAAGCTGCCTTGGTAGATCTGGATGAGTATACTGATGCTGTGACATCATACATTAGTTTTTGTGAGGGCATATGCGTGCCCACCAAAAACATACGTATATATAATAATAATAAGCCGTGGTTCCCAGCAAAGCTCAAACAGTTGTGTCGTGACAAGGAGGAGGCCTATAGGAATGGGGGGACAGGATTATGTATAATCGGGCCAGAAATGTACTTACGAGAGAGATTAAGGCAGCAAAGAGAAATTACTCAGAAAAGCTGAAAAATCAGTTTTCAGCAAAGGATCCTGCAACTGTGTGGAAAATAAAGAACGTCATTGGCTATAATAACCCACCTCTTTTGACTGAAGAGAGTCGTCAATTGGCAGATGACCTCAATATGTTTTACTACAGGTTTGAGAAGAAGCAATTGCTATGTGCTGCTACCAATTGTATTTCAGATACACCATTAGCATCAGATTTCTCTACACCTATTCCCAATTCCCTAGGTTCCTTACCTCTGGTGATCCTAGAAAAAGAAGTGCAAGGTCTGTTTCAAAAACAAAAGATTGGAAAAGCTCCAGGCCCACCTCTTGTCTGAAAGTTTGTGCGGAACAACTGGCCCCCGTTTTCACACACATTAGTAATAAATCGCTGGAGATGTGTTATGTCCCTTCTTGCTTTAAAAGCTCTACAATCATTCCAGTTCCGAAGAAATCTTCCATCAGCGGGCTGAATGACTACAGACCTGTTGCATTGACGTCTGTAGTTATGAACCTTTGAGAGGTTAGTGCTGGCTCACCTGAGAGCTATCACGGATCCCCCGTTAGATCCATTGCAGTTTGCTTATCAAGGAAATAGGTCAGTAGATAAGGCCTTACACTATATTCTGCAACATCTTGAATCTCCGGAGTCTTACGCACAAGTTCTTTTTGTGGACTTCAGCTCAGCATTTAACACTGTTATTCCAGAAATACTTTACAACAAACTGATCCAGCTTACTGTACCTGACCATACCTGTAGGTGGATAACCAGCTTTCTGACAGATAGGAAACAACACGTGAGGTTAGGCAAAACTATATCCAGTACTCAGTTAATCAGTACAGGCGTCCCTCAGGGATGTGTGCTCTCCCTGTTGCTTTTCTCCCTCTACACCAATGACTGTACCTCAAAAGACTCTTCTGTTAAAGTTCTGAAAGTCGCAGATGATACAACTGTCATTGGTTTCATTCGAAATGGGGATGAGTCAGCATAAAGACGGGAGATTCAACAACTGGTCTTGTGGTGTGGTCATAACAACTTGAAACTGAATACACTCAAAACTGTGGAGATGATTGTGGATTTTAGGAAGAGCCCTTTTAATTCCCTTCTCCTTACTATACTTGACAGCCCAGTATCAGTAGTAGAATCCTTCAAGTTCTTGGGTTCTATAATCTCCCAAGACCTGAAATAGATGCTTAACATCAGAACCATCATTAAAAAGGCACAACAAAGGATGTTCTTCCTGCATCAACTTAGGAAGTTTTAATTACCTCAGGAGCTTTTGGTGCAGTTTTATAGAGGAACCATTGAGTCTGTTATCTGTTCCTCTATAACTGTTTAGTTTGACTCCGTAACCAAGCAGGACAGATACAGACTTCAACAGATAGTTAAGTCTGCAGAAAGAATAATTGCAATCCGCTTGCCTTCTATAGAAGATCTGTATACTATGAAGGTTAAAAGGAGGGTGGAGAAGATATCTGCAGATCCCTCTCATCCTGGACATAAATTGTT